TAAACTTACTAAACTTCAAGATATAAAATAATTCAACATATAAAAGAAAATAATCTTTTAAAAAAGATTATAGCTAATGCATTAAGTATTAATCTAATTTATTTGTTAAGATTCTTCTATTTTATAAGGACTTTGTCAACAAAATTGTCATCAAAAAATGTAGCTGAAACTGAACATTAAAATGATCTAAAAATAATGCTGATATTAATCACAAACTATAAGCATAAATAGGTAGAATAAATTCAAACTATTATAATGATAATTGAACAATATCATATACCACTGCATAGTATTTCTCAAAGAATAATATCTCTCATGATTAATATTTAGATACTATTCACCATCCATGTTGACCTAATTACTAATAGTACCCAGATACATTTCAAAGTTAATCTTTATGAAAATTAATTAATATATAAATATAAATATAAAATCAATCACCTATAAATAAATACATTCTTAAAATTTGTAAAAGGCTGATTTTTATGTTTCATTTTACAAAATACTATATTCAAAACTTGATAAAACAAATATACTCTATATATTATATCTCCTTTAAAATAGTATCAGTTCTTTATTAAGTATTTATGGGTACTATTTAATTTGAAAAATAAAATTTTTGATTAAAATCCTAAGTTTAATAGATTTTAGTTAAAATTCATAAAGATTACTAATTTCAGAATTTTCAATTTAGGCTATTCAGAAAATAATTCTAAATTCAACATTTCTGGTTTAGATTAATCAAAAAAATACTAAATTTAAAATACCTTAATTTTATAGCCAATCTAAATAATTATGTTTGATATATACTAATTTAGTTAAAATTTAGTTTATATTAAAATGTCCAAAAATCTACTGTATACTATTGCAATATTCAGAAAATTTTCAAATAAAAAATCCTTCAATACATTTTTTAAATGTACTATAAATTATATACACAAAAATAATAAAAGTTTAATGAATATGGTATTTTCTATTAATCAAATTTATGGTTAAATATTCTTTTATATTTATCTGATCTGAGATTTGATATTTCATTAGAATAAGTTAACTGAAAATATGATATACTGGAATAATGCAATCACATAACTCTTGATAAATTCAGTACTTCATAATTTAATATTACAAGTATTATAATTTTTATCATTGTTAAAATAATATTAAATGTTACTAGAATTTATAGGTTGATATTACTAGATAAATTCTAAAAATTTTATCTAAAAAGTCAATTGTATATTTAAAATAATATTGAATTTGACCAGGATAACAATTGATATTATCATTAATTGTTAAAAATTAGGCTAAAATAAATGAACTGTTAACATAGCGGTATAATATTGAAGAGCTAAATATTTTAGATCCAATTTAACACCTTTTGAATTTGTTTATTTTTACTCAAATAATATTTGAATCTTCAGGTTAATCTTTAAATGGATTTCAAAAATTATATTATATAGGTTATATCATAATATTCGATTATTAAATTAAGCATTTCGTCTAACATTATAATATTTTCTAAAGAAGGACTTAGTATATAGTTTAAATCTGTAAATTGAAGATCCTTTAATATTTTGCAAATACATTAAATATTTTTTTATTTCATCTGTAATAAATTTGTCACTCTCTGAAACTAAACTAACTGAAGTTCTTATGCTACAGTAGCTTTCAAATGTTATGCATTATCCCAATTGGCAAATTTTAAAATTTAATTACTTTGTATACACGTGATAAAAAAATAAAATTTAAAATTCATTTAATTTATTATATCGTAACAATGTAAAAGGTAAATTTTTATTTTAATTTATTAATATAAAAATTGAATAAATAAAAATTTAATCAAATTATCACAATGCGTTACTTTTGATTATTTCTGACACCTGATCTTAAATGAATAATTAGACAAAAAAATCTAACCTAAATTAGCAAATATTTTTTTAATTTGAAGCTCACCACCTAGTATAACCATCTTTTGCATTTATTATATCATTAATACACTCTAATATACTTTCAATTAATTTGTTAAGAAACTCTATATCCATTTCAACCCAAACTTTCTGTATTACATCTCAAAGTTGATCTTGTATATAAATTCCTATAGAAGATCATCATATATACCTATCAATTTTATTCCATAAATATTCTATCAGATTTAAATTCAATGATTATGGTGGCCACTTAAGTACATTAATATTATTATTCTCAAACCACTGTCATGTTAAATTCATAGTATGTTTGAGATCATTATCCTGCTAGAATATAATATCACTTTTATCAATCCTATGACATTCAATTGTTCTCTGAAGGTTATCCTTTAATATTTCTTGATATAATTCACCATTCATATTCCCATAAATTCTTACAATGTTACCAACTCTAAAAGAAGAAAAGCATCCCCATACCATAATATACACTCTACTAAATTTTACTGTAGAAATTACATGCTTGTCAGTAAGGGGTTCATCAGGTTTTTTTCAACAATATTTACGTCTGTCAAAATCAAATATCATAAATTTGGACTTATCAAACCAAATTATTTTGCTTTACTCTTTAACTTCATAGTCTTTATATTTTTTAGTGAATTTTAAGCGTAATTGACGATGTTTTTTAAATATAGCTTTTTTCTCTTAACTTTTGAAGAAAAACCATTTCTATATAATACATGCCTCACACTTGCAGCAATTTTACTATTGCTTTTTAGATTTTTTTAAATATCTACAGCAATAGAACACTTCTCAGATAAAAGCATTCCTATAATATTACGCTCATCTCTTCCTGTAAAGAGTCTTGAATGACCTGACTTTGGTAAATCCTTTACAGAACCTGTAGCCTCTACCTTTTGCTTTATTCTAATAATAGTAGATTGAGCAACTTTC